GAGAGAGAGAGAGAGAGAGAGAGAGAGAGAGAGAGAGAGAGAGAGAGAGAGAGAGAGAGAGAGAGGGTAGGAAACGGAGTTTGGTGGAGAGATGACGTAGGAACGGTTGCAGTTTTGCTTTGGCAGGTTGATGGATTCACCCAGTGCCTAGCTCGGGTAGGTGTCAACGAGATATCTATGGTTCGGCGACTTGTCTCCTGAATGTGTATAGCTTAGACTGGCTGTTGAACCACCGTCTCTACCCGAATAGAACACCCAGTGATTTTTGCTGAATCTGCACAGAAAACGGCCCCAAATACAGCAACAACACCCCATAGCATGGTCGCAAGTCCATCCTGAAGCAAACTGCTGGAAGACTGAGGTTCAGCATTCTATTGTGTATGCCATGTCATGGGCTGTGTTAAACCTTTAGGGGAAGAGGAGGTAAGCAGCAGCAACACGTTGACTCGTCATAGGTAGAGGGTAACCCTGTGGATAACTGATCTGTGGAGAGAGGTGGTAGGATGGTAGTTTGGGGAGCTAGGTGAGATGAAGGGGAACAGATGAGTGATTGGAGGGATGTATGCGTCCAGATTGTGGCGAGGTCTCAGCAGCATCACAGTAATGGAGAAGAAGGGCTATATGGTGTGCAACAAGAAGCCCTTTTTGGGAAATGGGGTGCTAGCGGAAACAGAAGCCTTTTTTTTGTTGTTGCACCTGATTTTACCCAGTGTGCACACACAGGGTTTATGGGATGGTTAGTGGGGAATCACAGGAAAGCCATTGTGGTGCCAGCGCTGTTTTCGGAAGATCGAGAAATGCCCATTTGCATGAATCTAGTCAAGCACGCAGGCGGCAAACAAAATCCCAAACACGGAAAGTGAGGGTGGCACTGGGCACTGCGAGTGACCAAGTAGGTAGACCATAAGCAGCCTGCCACAAGCTGTGTGGCAGGCAAGCGAAGGCAACTCTTGGTTCCTTCGCTCTGCGGGACTTGTAGATGAGAAACATCAACTGTGCGACGGGAGTAGAAACATCTAAAATGGGTCTAATAACAGATGCCATTCACACTTGTAAAAAGACATGAACGTGCCCACACTCACGCACACACACGCACACACACACACAGAGAGAGAGAGAGAGAGAGAGAGAGAGAGAGAGAGAGAGAGAGAGAGAGAGAGAGAGAGAGAGAGAGAGAGAGAGAGAGAGAGAGGCTTGGTGGTTGGATAAGCCAGACTGGCTGATGGAATCTGATGCAGTCATAATGAAGTCTGTTTGGTGATCAAAGGTGGAGGGTGTTTTTTAGGGTTTAGGGTTTGCCTGTCTGTTGCCAGAATTGTTCATCCAAGAAGTAACAGCGTGGTCTTGGAGCGACCGCAAGGTCCGCAACGAAAGTTGTTGTGATCGTGTGTACAAGCCTAGATTGGAGCTTTGTTCCCATTGAAAAAAAAAAAAAAGAAGCCTACTGTAAGGAATGTGTATTGCAACATGTACCATGGCATCAGAATAAGAAAATGAAAGTATTGTGTGAATTAGAAAAAAACAAAATTGAGGCAGAAGTGGGCAATGTTTGTTTGGGAGGGCAGCTACAGAATTCTGTAGCGTACTGTTGGGCATAGTCCATTACAGCATCTGCTTTAACATTCGTAAACTCCTTGAAAAAAAGGAAAAGAAAAAAAAAAAAGAAAAAGAAACAAAAAAGAAGCGAAAGACGACAGCTCTTTTGAGTCCGGTGATTGGAATGAGAACAGTCGTAAACTCCTTGAAAAAAAAAAAAAAAAAAAAAAGCAGGAGGAGTGTTGTTGGGTATATAGTTCTTGGGAATCAAAGGTCTTCCTTCACCTAGAGTTGCTTCGACATAGAATCGTTGGATGGAATCTGGCCTGAATGGAAACATGCTGCCTTTTTCTTTGTGGCCTCGTCTGGGGCGTGTGTGTGTGTGGAGTGTCTGAAGGATGCTTATGTATTGGCCTTTTTTTTTGTCGTTGTTGTTATTCTTGTGTGTGTGTACATGTGTATGTATGTTCTCTCATGTTCGCTATACACAACTCCACCAAAAAAAAAAAAAAAAAAAAAAAAACTTCGTCGGACTTTCACCTACTCATCAGGAGGCTGAACCCTCACAGTCTCACACCCGTTTTCTGCCAAAGCGTGTTTGTGTGTGTGTCTGTGGGGGGGTGGGGTGTGTATTGTCATGTTTGCTATACACAACTCCACACAAAAAAAAAAAAAAAAAAAAAAAAAAAAAAAAAGCATGTTGGACTTTCACTGACTCCTCAGGAGGTTGAACCTGGACCGTCAGTCTGCCCAGGATGCATTTGACTGATCGATTGGACACGCCACGTCGCCCAGAGTTACCGATACCCTGAGTCAGAGAAAAGCGGTAAACTTTTTTTTTTTTTTTTTTTTTTTTTTAAGGCCCTTGTGCAAGGCCTCTATCCCAGTGGTGGTAAGAGAACCACCGGGATCGAGGCTTTGCCAGTGGGCCGCTCCATCTATTGGTGGGGAGCATCACCTGCTGGAAACCGGGTCCAGCGTCCCATCACTGTCTATGCTGTATACCTAGAACTGAGCCCAAGGCCAGGGCCCAGCCAGGGCCTCTGGGGACACCAGTGGACCCTGTCTGCTCCCCGCCCCGCCTCCCAACAGGCTCCACTTATGCTAAATGCACTAGCTACACTACCTGCTGGTTTGGTCTACCTATGCTGAGAACCAGGCCTGAGGATAACTCTCCAACATAAAAGAAATAATGATAATTAAGTTGGAAAAACGAAGGACCGCCTCCTCAGTCTGCACCAGACCGCCAGATCACTCATATTACCCTAGCGGTTACTTCCTGTTTCCTCTGGGTACCACCCTGCCCTGTATCTGCCCTGTATCACCCGTTCAGCCTGCTCCGTACCATTGCATATCCACCATTGCCAGCTGGTGGGGCGGGAAGGGGTCGGGAAATTCTGTGGATGGTCGCAGTGGAATCCCCTGGCCCACAGTAGCCCAGTCTCTGAAGCAGATACGGTAGTCTCTCCTGAATTCCTCTTGGTTGGACTCCTGGGTGGGCTTGCCTTCCCATCTGACAGATGCGATCCTGCCCCCGTTCTCACTGCCCAACCAGTCTCCAGAGAATTGGTGAATTGCTTGTGTTATGTCCTGTGCAGAATGAAATGAATCGAGTTGGTTTTTAATTTTTTGCCAGTGTACCATGAGTTCTTGTTGAATATATTGCCTTATCATGTCCGTTGCCTCTTCCCCAGTTATGTGGACACCCTCGATAGCGTGTATACAACGTTTCCTCCACAGGGTCCACATGACCGCTCTCCTTCCAAACTTGAACATGTTATTTTCAAAGGTGTTGTCAGTAGGGGAGGACCATGCCTCGCATAATATGGGCCTCCAATCCCGTGGCCAGTTGGACTTAGTTCCCAACAGGGTCCAGATCCTATCCCACCATCGCCATGCAAGAACTGCCCCTGGACACGGCATGAATATGTGCTCTATGGTTTCGGGAATTCTGCGGGGGGGGAAAGCAGTGTGACACTGAGTGGGAATCCAGGCCGCCCGGTGACTGGCAGGGGCCCGGGGGAGGTCCCGGGCGGCCTGGCTGGGTAGGGCGCCTGGTTGGGGGCCGGGCCCCCCCAGCACACTCACCTGTAGGGGGGTTTCGGAACCCCTTTTCGCTGGTGTGTGTGTGTTTGTGTCTGTGAGTGTGTTATGTGTGTGTGTGTGTGTGTGTGTGTGTGTGTGTGTGTGTGTGTGTGTGTGTGTGTTGTCATATTCGCTATACACTCAAAAAAAGCATGACTGTACCAGACTCTTTCGTCGGACTTTCACCGACTGTTTGTGTGTGTGTGTGTGTGTGTGTGTGTGTGTGTGTGTGTGTGAGAGAGAGAGAGAGAGAGAGAGAGAGAGAGAGAGAGAGAGAGAGAGAGAGAGAGAGAGAGATGTGTTCGAATATGGATCGATATTGGCCATATGCAGCTGATATGCTGCTGAAGAACTCAAAGATTTCCTGCAAGTTGTCAGTCTTGTAAGTCGTCTTCTTCTTCTTCTCCATCTTATCAGTCTTCTTCTTCTTCTTCTTCTTCTCGTCAGTCTTCTTCATTTTTTGTCAGTCTTGTTCTTCTTCAGAATGAAAGCGTTGATAACATGCATGCAGCAGACATCAGAGCAGCGGGCAACAAACATGCAGAGCCCCCAACCCAGTACATATCAGATGACATACATTCAGCATACAGCAGGCAACATACATGCAGAGCCCCCA